AGCTCCCAAGTTTCAACTGCTCTCTAGGTCCAAGTACTGCTCAATTTGTATATCCTTGTGATTGACACTTTGTGGTTAACAAATATTTTGTTATTTTGTTCAGTGCGCCCACGATTGACAAATTGAAAATCTGGGGTAGGCAAATTTTGTTGAGAGGTGGAACCAAACAAATTTTGTTAGCCCAATACTAGTGCTTTTTCACCAAATTGCACTCGAAATCATGTTGTTTCTTGTCAATAACTGACATGGAAAACGCATCACAAAAAGTCAAGACGGACGAAATTTTGCTACCGCGCGCCCGCTATTTGTAATTTGCACTCCTAACTCGTGCTACAACTTTGCACTCGTGTTGCATGAAAAATGCACTCGTGTTCAGCCAATCAGACCGCGTTATTTTTTCATGTACATTATTATATAGGGTACTAGCATATACCTAAACAGTGGATAGCATTGAAGGCGCGCTCTGATTGATAAATGTCCATCACTAGCCACCTCTACCACTAGCCACCTCCACCACAAGCCACCTCCACCAGTTTTTAATTATTAAATATTGCATTTCTAGTGTTCTAATTGATTCACTGAACTCTGTTATCAGCCCGCATAATCCAGCAAAGATCTTTTTCGCACGGGATTGGTCTGAATACATCACCGAATATGCCCCAACTAAAACTGAAAATGTATCCGAAGTTGGTGAAAACTGGAGAATAGTTATTGGATTTCTAGCCATCTGATTGGCTAAACGGAGCCAGGTTATGAGCTTGTTACCTAGCCCCGAGCCATAACTTAGCTCCGACATCTCATATCCAACGTCAAAGCCGCGAAGCAATGGAGGAAAAAATATGTTTGCGTGAGAGCTTACAATTAAAGAAATAACAGAATTACAATAGAAAATGCAACTCCCATATCACCGAAACAGCCAATAAATTCGGTTTAAAAATATTTCAACGTAAGCAACGGAAAACTAAGCAGCTTTTACTTGCTAAATTCGAAATATGATTTGGTTACATTTTACGATAACATTTGTGACAGAGAAAGTTTAGGGAATTGTTTCACTGACTCTCCGCATCGCGGAACAAATAATGTCTGCGGACAAATATCCGCGCATATATTCTCGCAAAATGTAAGCTTTTGTTTATACATACCGAGTTAGCCTTAATAATAAATCATTCACCCAAGTGTTGAAAAGCTGAATTTAGTTTTGAGAAGTAGCAAACACTTCTCCCCTGCATTGGAGCAAGTAGTAGTCAATGTCATCTCGGTGACAAAAGTAAAAGCCACTTAGAACAATATAACTGTTGAACAATGCGTATCATTGAAGTTTCACTTAAAAATTTTGCAATTGACATTAACCTTTTATTGTATAGAGTATTATAACGTTGCTGTAACAGAAAGAACAGCCGGTTACCTCCAAAATTTAATGAATTGCAAGTTTTGTATTGAAATTGAAATGCGTGACCTTAAGTTATAAAAGCTCACCTTTAAAGTCCGTTCAAGTGGTCATGATATTGTTTTTTTCCGTTCGCTATCATCCAGCAAAACACCATAATTATTAAAGAAATTTTGTAAGTGGAAGATTCAATAAAACAATTATGCCATTCGCGCTCGTTGGATGTAAAATTGGTTATGGCCAACTCGGCGTTACGCGCTTCTTTGGTTATTCACCATCTCGTATCCAACGCATCTTTAAAGAATATTTTCTTTTTCGCCCTACATTGTATAAAACATCGCCTTTAAGAAGTTTTCTTCAGTGGCATGTTTTCAGAAAAGTGTTAAATCAACCGAATTTAGGATGTGTATTTACCCTAGCATCGCATTTACCTTGTTTCCTCCTTTTTGGTCAACACTGCTTAAGCGAGTTTGACAGATGGTCGCGTATCGCTAGTTGTACCTTTCAAGTCGTGGGTCGCCTTTCAAGTTGCGTCTGTCAATGCAAGTTGCGCCTTTTAAGAGGCATTTTTTTTTCAAATTAATGGTAAACTTTACCGACAGACTTTCCATAGAACAATACAGGCACCAGAATGTTCTTAAACAAACATTTGTATGCTTACCAGGTCCTAGATACACTATTTCACAGACGACGGGCGGTGGATGAATACAATTCGCATTAATAAATAGTTCGCCGCTCTTCCACCAAGTCAATTTTATTTCTGTAAATTAAACATTCTCACTAGATTTATCAGCAATGAAGATGCCCATCCAATTTACAACCAATCCATTTATATTCATCGCAAGTTATGAAAGATGTCGATCTGCATTCAGTTAGATTCCATTTCCTATTAGTTAACGATGATTTCATCAGATATGAAATATTGAGCATGAAAACTTGTATAGATCATTGTAATAACTGTTAGAAGATTGTACAGAGAGGCAATATGGTCGAACCTGAAATTGAGCGGCACTGAATTCAGCGGTTCAAAGTCCTGAATTTGTTTCCCCTCAATCATTGTGGTTTTTACCTCTATTCAGCGGTAGCGGTCACCTTGCACTAAGTCCCAAAGGCCTGTTTGTTTAGCCTGCCACCCGTATTGAACGATCACTCAAAGCCAAACCATTCAAATAGAACTAGGAATATTATTTCAGGTTATTTTTAATCCATATTTCTCCCCAAAAATCAAAGTAAGTAGCATTTTTGAGCGAGATTCTACACACGAAGTCACAATTATGGCATAGAATGGCATTGTGTATCGTTTCTATGATGCCCCTTATCTGTGGAACCTGTATTAAGCGGCCATCCCCCGTGGGTGACCGCCTAACCCTTTAACTCCCGGGGGTGATCAACATGAAACTTCTTCCTATAATATCCTTACATTATTCAGCAAACAGCTAATGAGAATATTCAAACTTATCAGGTAGAATTCGTTATCTTGATCTAAAACCAAATCCTCATAACCACTTTACAAGGAAATGTTTAGAAGCTAAAGAGGAGAATTACCAATCAGATCTTGGGTGTCAAAAGGTTAATACTGGTTCGACTGCATAACAAACTAGCAAGACCTTCTGAGAAAGATGGAGCAGGTGACTATTGTTGCGAGTTAAAAAGAAAATGGGTACCCCATTAGTCTTGTTTGGGGCTCGAGCAAGTCATTTTGTTTAAATTAGAAATGAAATTCAGTGTATCTAGAAATAAGTAGAGAAGCAAATAAATAAATAAATAAATAAATAACCGTAGTTAACGCACTGCTAATATTAGATGCCGTGCCATATCAGACCAGTTCTGACTAGGATGATACTTTAACACAAACCAAAATATCTGGTTAAGCCCCACCTCACTAACGTGGAGTAAGGAGTCCATACCATTAATTCTGTTTATTGTCTTATAACACTCAGTAACCGAAGGAAATAATCTTCATCGATGTAGAGGTGGTCATTCAAAGAATTTTAGACGTTGTGCGTTGTACTTTCTCTACGACGTTTAGGTCTTTTTTGAGGTGTGGACACCATGTTGTATAGTGTGTCGTGAAACTAGTGAATTTAACGCTTAAATATTGTAGTATTGCGGTACATCATGCATGAGCACCTCCAAAACAAATAACACGAAAACAAATCTTTCTAAAGCCCGCCACTTGAAGGACGTGACCGGCAAAACGCGACCATTAGTCAAACTTTGCTCAAGCACGTGATGCATACCCCTGAATACTGATATTACTCGTAAACAAGGACACTAAATTAGGCGGCATTGCCAAAGCTGTCTTACTAATAAAATATTCTGAAAAGAAAAACTGAACGAAAACACTTAATCACCTATGGCAACTAGTACAACAGACGTCTGCAGACAGATCTATATGAAAAAAATTGTCTTAATTGTGAAAAAAAAAATGGAAAAAAAAGAGCGTAACGGAAACATTGGCGAAATTATGCCGTTAAAAAGACGCTGGAAAACACGTTGGCTGAGATTAAGAAATAATATTCTCTTGAAATATGCCTTAAAATGCATTTAAGTTCAGGTGATTTGAATCGCAATGATTAAATCAAACTGGTTCAGAGAGAGGCCCGAAATTAAGTAATCATGTAGTGTATTGCCGAAGGAAGTCTGGATTGCTTGCGAGACACAAGTCCAAGTCGCTCTTGTCGTAAGGACTATTTTCTTAGGCATTTAAAGCTGGTTTGGATGCATTAATAGGTTTTTGTTACTTGTGCTATTGTGATTTTCCGCTGTGACTCCAACTTTTGCAGCCTGGAAATTTAAGACAAGTATTTGCTGTTGTTATTATTGTTGTTTATTTATGTTGGATCTCTTTTTTAACACTACTAACAAACCGCTTTGATGGTGTAGCAGGTAGTGGAGTTAGATAAATGAGAAGGAATGTCGCAATAACATGTATATACTTAAGATCAAAATTTCATGAAAATGAAACATGCACAAAGCATAGCATTGGTAACACAAAGCAGTCAAAAGTTCTAATTCTGTTGAAGCCTGAGGACTACAAACAACACAATATAAAAAACCAAGTTTAGGTTTCTCTATTGCGTCGCACGTAAATTGACAGTTCACTGCCAGGCGTATTTCAAGTTGGTATAATCTATCTAAAATATGTTCTTCAACTGGGATATCGATTGGAAAATAACAAGTTTAGTCGGGCAACCATAACTACAAATTCCAACGCGACTTAAAAAACAGTGGACGAAGAGCCTTCTCTTAAATAGACAACTGCGAATTTATCTATAGTCGGTGGATAACACACCACACGACCATTTAATGCAAAGGGTCAGTCAGCATGCTTTGAATATCATCTTCTCCAGAGATTTACTCGTCGTCTTTAGTTGTCGCCAAATTTACGTCGACTGGGTGATTAAAGGAGGAGATCTGGTAGCAATAATACATTATTTATACAGGCTGACGACGGTAAGGTGTAGATATTTGCAATACAAAGTTCCATGAATCTTACTGAAATTTGGCGTATTATCAACCACGAGTTCAGCTTCGATTTCAAACATCGACTTCCCACCGTCTGTGGAGAGATGCTTTTGACGAATGTTCATTGTTACTGAAGGTATCTGAATTAAACCACACTTTGGGCTCTATCCCTCGGTGGATCCGGTATCGTGTACGCATGCGTGGGGCGTGATTCCACCGTGAGTGACATCGTTCTTCCCATTGGATTTATTGCCTTGCGGAAGATGCAGCGAATTGAGACAATACGCATCAAGGTTCTACGGAATCTGTCGTTCATTGCTGTGTACACGATGGGATTGTAGATAACCCAAGCCTTAGCTAAAAGATCCGGGACTTCTGCCGAGTCAGGTGTCAGAACATTAGAACCCCGGATGGTGGCCATAATACTGACGAAAGTATAGGGAGACCAGCTTAGAACGAAGGCTGCAATTGACATGGCAATCATGCGCACGACTTTGATCTCGGATTTTCTTCGGATGGCTTGAATCGAAGCACTTCCAAGCATTGGTGGCTGTGCACGAATATACCTGCAACGAAAAAAATCCTGTTAACATTATCAATATCCTCAGTTTTCTTTTTTTTTTTTCTTTTTTTTTTTTTTTGCCTTAAGTCTTTCCCCACCCTATCGACCAATTAGATGTTGGATCGTGTTATAACTTTGTGACCCGCTTTTCAGGTAACTTTCTTGATCTTTTCTCTTTTATTTTTATCATTTATTTTTCTAACGAACTGTTCACTGATGACTGCTTTGAAATTCCCTCTTTATTTGTGGAAACCAATGTAAATCACTCAATGTTTTGTTCCGATGGAATCAGGTATTTTTTGTCAACCAAGAAACCCTAAAAAAATTGTTCACTGACCTGTATATCCTGTGATAAGAGTAAATAATGACGCTTAGTGGCAGAACGAAGCCAACGAAAACCAACAACATATTGTACGCCATTCCAGCCTTTGTTTCGGGTGACCAGTTCGGACAGCAGCTGATGCCGGAGGCGCCTGGGACGAATTCGTTCCAGCCCACTAATGGCGGGACCATAGCCATCACTCCATACACCCACGTAAATATAATAATGCCGATCATCTTCGGTCTGGGGATTTTTGTATTGTTGCTAACCTTGCTGATGGCAGAATACATCACCAGACTCATCATAGTTAAGTTGGCAATGGAGGCGATACCAACAGAGCCATTAATAAATCCTGACCAAATGCACTGGGTCCGACTGTTACGAACGTTGAGCCCGGAGGAGGTAAAGTTGGCTGCAACAACCACTGGATATCCAAAAACGATAATAATGATGTCAGCGATCGCGAGGTTCATCATGAATGGGGTGATGTTCTTGTTTTTGTGTTCGTGGCAACTTAAAACTAATATAGTCAGCACGTTGCCAACAAAACCCACTGCTAAGATGACCGCCATGACGACGATATATGCAACGATACCTGTATTATTTGGACGGAGCTGCGGTTCTTGGCTGGCGAGCATCGTTTGCGATGTGCTTGGAGCCTGAGTCGACAGGTTACAAGCATTCATCTTTATATGAACTTTTTATTCCCTTGCTTTGATCCTCTGACACGTGTGGTGAAATTTTGTATAAGATCTGTATTAATTTGAGAAAAGGGAAAAGAAAGAATGGGAAAAAAAAATGCTTCTTCAAAATGAGACTAATGCGAGGAAAAGGAATCATATCCTTGATCATCATCTTAAGATAGATAGGAGAGAGAATCAGACAGAATCAGTATAGAACCAGTTGTAGCGAATTTTAGAGTGCTACCTTTCGAGTATGAGCCCAGGTGCGAGGGGCATATATTGGAAGGGTGATATCTTTGACGATTATACAATCGAGAATAGGCCGTTTGGACGGGAGACGGTTAAAGTTTGGCCATTTGACGGTAAATGTTTACAAATTCTCTGTACTTCACAAAATGATCAATATCAGTAGTTTTTCTCTCGAAAAGTTTGACGAACCAATTTTTGATAAATAATACATTTTAATTCACAAAGATCCCTGAAAAGGCAAGAGCTGGTTGGACTTAACTCTTAACTTTTCACTCCAAGTTAGAATAGGAATAAACGCATTTTCCACTGGATGTGTTTCAAGAAGTTGTATGAATTATTGAATGGACCGGAATATAAATGTATTTTGTGCGCATTGTAGCCGGTGGTTCATAGACAGCACACTTCGACGTCCTTCATTTTCGTTCGTAGAAATAAATATCTGAAAGAAATAGCAGCTAAAATTAGCTAGCTTGTTGACAGTTAAAATCTTGCCCCTTTTTGTCGTTGACAGTCAATACCTTGGCCATTTGAAGGTTGACGGTTGATCCAATTAGGCCGTTTTCTTCTGCACAAAGTTTGTAGAAGAAAGAACTTCTTCTCTTTTCTTTAAATTCTGAATCGATTAAGGAGAAATTGAACTGATTTTCAGAGTCTTTTTGCCGCATGTTTTTTATGATGGTTCCATCCGGACTCGCTCATGTTATGTATGAGGGTGAAAGCGATGATTATCGTAATGCCACTTTTTGAAAATAATTAGCACAAATTGAGACATCTTCGTAAATCTGAGTGCACCGCTATCGCTTTGTATGCTTTTCGAAAGTTAATTAATTACCAATTTCCTTTAAAAAAAGTTTTGCTTTACTCAAGGAAAAAGTACTGAAGAAGGGCTTGCCTTCCCATCACATTTTTATAATGATTTGGTTTAAGGGATTTTTGTCTTTTTTTTCTCTGAATTGAGCAGAGTACGAAGAAATAAGTTGATCGTTCAAAGTCAAATGTGTATCCTTCTTTTCTTGGCCTTTTAAGGGGAGTTGGAAGTAAACCCTTAAAAATGAGAGAGGAAAAACTGTTTTGAAGCGAAATTTTTTTCCCGCTGTGAATCGTTCAAAAAGGATGCACAGGGCCACGAGAATCAATGATAATACTGAGTGATGAAAACATTTGAGCGCAAGGAGATGTTAAAAAAATATTCTGTCGAGATACAACCTTTTTTTTTTTTTTTTTTTTTTTTTTTTTGTATTTCATAGTTAATAAGGATATTATATTTGAAGTCGGAAACTTGTAACAGATTTGTTTCATCGCTCATTTACATATTGCGGCTGACTTAAGAAAGAAAAATATTGTTTGAATTTCCGTTTAAAAGTCAAGATTTCTGACATAAATATATTCCTTCGGTAATTCTTTTTACGTAGACGATTTTTAACTTGTCTGCAATTAGCGGGAAAATTTCGGCTTTTTTTTCATTGAAGAAGGTGTGTTCGGCACACCCACAGCTACACCTACAAAAACACCTTCATCTTTAGATACACTTCGCATATTAAACACTTTTTAAATGATGTTTTCGTGCCTCAAAAGCTCAATTTAGTCGAGACCACCCGAGGATAAAATATTTCTGGTTGTTGACCATAAAATCGTCTTTTCTGATAGCCAAATCGCAAGTTACTCTGACATAATTTCTGTATATCATAGTGCGTATGCTCGATTGATGATATGTAATCGATTTCGTTTCAACCAAGATATTTTGCTATACAGACTTTAACACCAACGACCGAAAAGAAAAGATAAAAATAATAACAAAATCGTTTTGGTTATAAATTAAAATTGGTTTGGGTTTTACTCAATTGATGAATTCTGTGAATATCGAGTCAGTCTGGTTGTAGAAATGATAATTTCATCCAAAATTCTTATCTGAAATTTGACACAATCCGACTGTATTCTAAATCTCGAGGTTAAAAGATCGTCACAATTTTTCATTTTGTTCAGAACTCTCAAAATTTCTTGACAAAGCCGACTTAATTCTGAAAACGATTTTAAGTAACACACAAATCCATGTTTACAATGAATATCATCTAATGAATTCAAACCTTCATTTCTATCGTAATCTTAAACTGAATCTATGATGAAAGGTTACCTGTAACTCTAAAAGAAATGGAAAATTTCTTCAATCCAGCAAACGACTGGCAATGGAACATCTATGATCTGATTCCAGATATGTATCAACACCTCAAGTTATTTGCTTTTTTCTCCAGAGGAAAATAAAGTTGCCATGACAACATTGGCACCTTACTGTGGCCTTAATTAAAGCGTAGTAATGTTCCCACGGACGTAATAGATGGTACTTTTTTTTTTTGGTTCTTTTCGGCCTTTAGTTTATAAAACATTATCTTGAGATATTTCCTCCCATGGCATGTTTTCATAGCAATCATAAATAATACAAATTCGGGTGTAAATTTTTTACCATAGCATCGCACTTCCCTTGATCTTTAAAATAAAAATGGAAAGAAAGACAATTTGAAAAATGAAAAAATAACACATCAACCGCGCACGTGATAGTCACTCTTATCACGTGCACATGAAATTAAATTGATATTAGCGGCATTGCTAAAGAAAGCTGTTTTCTGAATTCATAATTTTGGAAAAAAACATCGTGAAATATTTACTCACCAATAGCAGCCAGTTTTAAACAGACGTCTGCAAACAGATTTACGCGAGAAAAAAAATTACCTTAATTGCTCAAAACAGTATATAGTCTACAAAGCGTTGTTTAAAAAGTAGAAAAATAAAACACATCACCGGAACCATTGGCGAAAGTACGCCGTTAGCAAGACGCAGAAAACAGTGGGCATCAGCTGAGGTTAAGAAAATAACCATAAAAATGCATTAAAGGCACGTGATTTGAATTACCATGAAAAAAGTACTTTTGAACGGTTGGTTTCGTTTTAAATCATTTAATTGGAATTTCTAGGACGAGGCTTCTAAATTTATTTTTCGCTTTGGAAAGGATGTTATTTTGGAAATTTGAAAAAGTAAACACAGATATATAACTCGGGTAATCATGAAAAACGGGAAGTTTGCTGTTCAAAAAATTTTATTTTCTGGAAACAAAATAAATCCTCATTTTCCTTAGCTTCAAGGAGATTGAATTATTTTTAAAATATCAAATCATATTAGAAGTTATAACTCTGAATTCTATCCTTGAGGTGATATTTTTTATTCAATGCTAAAAATGAGCTCCAACTGAACCATTCTGCGTTTCAGATCAGATCCGTATAATTTTGACAAATTTAATATTTTCTTTTTTGTTTAAACAATCATAAAAGCCAATTTGAAAGCTTACACTTCTTAATTTTACCAGCGTCGCCTATATCAGGCTGCGAGTTTAGAATCGTGTTTTGAGCGCTTGAATACGTGTCTAGAATTCGATTTAATGTCATCCATTTCTCTTATTTTGATGTATTGGTGCAATTAAATCTCTGCATGTAGCAATCATTGGGCATACTCTTTTTACATGACAGGTTGGACATCTCTTCCGATAATGACTGAGAAACTTAAGACAAACCGCGCTACACTCATTATATTAATTAGAAATCATAGTAACACCACTGTTTAAGTGCTAAAGTGAAAGGTTTAAGTGCCAAAGTAAAAGTTTAAGCGCCACCGAGGACAAAATAAATCTACAACTTTCCATCCAACCACAAAGAAAAAAGTTACTTTTCGCCAAGGTGGGAAAATAAATTATAGCTGAGAGACTTTAAATTTCCTTTTATAGCAACACTGTGGAAAATTTTAATGAAAAACAAACGGAATATGCATAAAAAGGTTTACAAATCTTCATGAAGATATTTGAATTTTTTTATTTCCCTCTCAATTAATAGTATGGTTTTGATATCAAAGGGAACAGATCTGAGTTATCATGGCTCTAAACAATATAAGATGTTGTTCCATGAAATAAAATTGCGAAAATACATTGTTGTGTTAATGAAACATGAAACGTCAGACAAAAGTGTCTCCTTTTGATTCACCATTTTGTTTTAACTGAATCTTTACCCAAACCAAATGTTTTGGGAAACCGCTGGATCAAATGACGCGGAATTCCATTTCCATTTACCGACGCAGTATTGAGATCTCCATATCAAACGATTCCTGGAGAATAGCACAGTTCCACAGTAGTTTTTGAAAGCCAGTACGAAATTTTTTTCCTAAAATGATACATTTACATTTAGTGGTGATGATAATTCTTTAAGTAGTGACTAGAAAAAAATGCCGCTGTAGTGTACATCGACAGTTCTTTATTAGTGTCATTAATTGCGTTCATTTTAGAAATCGTATAGCCCGAAAAGAATTTACAGATATAGATTTACCTTTCCCTCGATTGCTTTGATCGGCCGTCGTGCCTAAAAGGGTATAAAAAACAGTTTTTAACCGCTGATAAAACATTGCACGAGACAGGAAATTCGCGTTATTTTTTTTTTTGTTTCGCTAGATTTTAATAAGTCTAATTTACCCCTGGGACATTAGAAACACTTGTGCACGTGCTAGGAACATGGGTATGTGATGTATACCCACGTGAGAGTGGTTCTATGAACTGAGAAGGTAGGATTATTTTAAAGTTGTACATGGATTATACTCGCCAATCACTCTAGTTTACAAATTGTATTATCGATGTTGTTCGTTAGCGTGGGATTTAGACGTGCGTCAAAGGTCAGATTGTCTCAGATTGTGCAAATGTTGTGAACTGAGTATCGCCTTTTCTC